AGGGAGGGAAAGGAAGGAAGGAAAGAAGACAGGAGAAAGGAAGGAGAGGGAGACAAAGAGAGGAGGGGGATATGATGTCAAATTTGATTAACCTTGTTAGGCATACTCAATTTAGAAAAACAGAAAAGCATTTACATTTGTTGTTGTTGTTGTTGTTGTTGTTGTTGTTTTGAGACAGGGTTTCTCTGTGTAGCTTTGATGCCTTTCCTGGATCTTTCTCTGTAGACCAGGCTGTCCTCAAACTCACAGAGATCCGCCTACCTCTGCCTCCTGAGTGCTGGGATTAAAGGCGTGCACCACCACCACCACCACCACCACCACCAGGCTCAGAAAAACATTTAGAATTTTATTATCCGCAAATAAAAATCCTAGATTGAAGTTCTAAGGACTTTGATTATTAAACAAATGCAACTCAGTGAAAACATTAGAAAAATCTCATAATACTTCTTATCCTTTCCTCTAAGCAACAATTGATCTAATTGATCAACAACTTTTATTGAAAGAAATGGGATGGAAGGGGACAGGAAGAAAGTCAGATGAGGGATGTGGTACATCTCTCAATCAAAATAAAACTAAAGAAATACAACATTAAAGGCATGAAATAATTAGATATATTGTGTATTTATATAACTAGTTTTAAATAAATGAAAGCAAGTAATTTTCTGATTCTTAGTGTTTTCTGCTCAAGACAGATAATAGAACAAGGAAGAGAAAAAAAAAAAGAGAACACATGTGTGTGCACATGTATAAAAAGAAATAGTGATAAGATTAAAAAACAAACTAGGCCGACCTTCTGGGGTGACCTCCCTGTCTACTCCCATTCCAAAGAGATTAAATAGCAGAAGTTAGTTGAATGCTCCATTCCTCCCTCCCGAGAACACCTTCAGATTCCTGGTATAGTCCCATTCCTAAGTGTCAGTTCCAAAACCAAGAGACACATCTTACCTGGAGCCCCTGGAGCCATACCTATCAGGTCCACAAAAAACTTCCTACCAGGCAACACACAGCCGTCACACTCTCCTAAAATCCGAAAACAGAAAGGAATGAACAAAACACCCCCTCAACAAAGAAAAAAACCAGAAATCAGCACCTATAACTATAACCACTCCAGTGCCAGATGCCTACATACCAGCATAGGAGCACAAGCAATAACAGTCAGAGCAAAATGTCTGCACTAGAGCCCAGCTGTCCTGCCACAGCAGGTGCTGAATATTTTAACATAGCTGAACCACAGGAAAAAGATCTTAAAACTGCTGGGATAAAGATGATTGAGGCTTTTAAGAGTAAATTAACAAATCCTTCAAAGAAATAATCAAACTGAGGATTGAAATCAATAAAATATAAACAAAGAGATAATACAAAATAATTAATGAAACAATAGATTGTTTGAGAAAATCAGCAAGCTATATAAACCCCTATCTGAATTAACTAAAAGGTTAAAAAGGGAATATCCAAATTAACAAAATGAGAAATAAAAAGAGAGGCATAACAACAGACACAGAAGAAATCCAGAGAATAAGGACATAAAAACCTGTATTACAGCAAATTGGAAAAATCTAAAAGAAATGGATAATTTTCTCAATATGTACCACTTACCAAAGCTAAATCAAGATCAACTAAGCAATTTAAATAAACCTATAACCCATAGTGAAATAAAAGCAGTAATTAAGTCTCCCAACAACAAAATAAGTCAGGGCCAGATAGTTTTAGTACAGAATTCTATTAGACTTTCAAAGAAGAATTAGTGCCAATACTCCTCAAGTTATTCCACAAAATAGAAACAGAAAGACCATTGCTCAACTCATGTTATGAGGCCACAGTTACACTTACACCCAAATCACATGAAGACTCAACAAAGAAAGAATTACAGATTAATTTCACTTATGAACATAGATGCAAAAATATTCAATAAAATGCTTGCAAACTGAGACCAAGAACACATCAAAAAGATCATCCATCATGATCAAGTAGGCTTTATCCCAAAGATGCAGGAATGGTTCAATATATGGAAATCAATAAATGTAATCCACTATATAAACAAAGTGAAAGACAAAAACCACATGATCATCTCACTAGATGTACAAGGCGCCTTTGACCAAATCCAAAACCCTCTCACTCTGAAAATCTTGGAAACATTAAGGTTACAAGAAAAATACCTAAACATAATAAAGGCCCATAGTCAACATCAAATTAAATGGAGAGAAACTCAAAGCAATTTCACCAAAATCAGTAGTAAAACAAGGTTGTATATTCTCTCAATACCTATTCAATATAGTACTTGAAGTCTTAGCTAGAGCAATAAGACAACTGAAGGAAAGCAAGGGGGTATAAATTAGAAAGAAATAGGTGAAAGTATCTTTATTTACAGATGATATGGTAATATATATAAGTGACAAGAAAAATTCCACCAGGGAACTCCTACAGTTGATAAACATTTTCTATAAAGTAGCTGGATACAAAATTAACTCACAAAAATCAGTAGCCCTTCTATACACACATGAAAAACTGAGAAAAAATCAGAGAAACGTCTTCCACAATGGATTCACATGATATAATCTATCCCAAGGTAACTCTAACTAAGCAAATGAAAGACTTGTATAATGAAAACTTCAGGTCTTTGAAGAAAGAAATTAAGAAATATCAGAAGAAGGAGAGCTTTCACATGCCCATGGATCAGCAGGATTAACATAGTAAAAAATGGCTATCCTACCAAAAACAATCTACAGAGTCAATGAAATCACCATCAAAATTACAACACAATTCTTCACAGATCTTGAAAGCACATTTCTCAGCTTCATAAGGAAAAACAAAAACCGAGGATAGCTAAAACAATCCTGAATAATAAAAGAACTACTGGAGGTCTCAATATTCCTGATTTCAAGTTGTACTACAAAGCTATAATAATGGAACCCATTGAACATGGAGAGGGCAAGCTGGTGCCTACATTCTAGTGTCTTTGATATGGAAAGGTACTCTTGCAGGCTGTTAAAAGAGAAATGTAAACACCAACTTAGCCATTAAATTTTTGATCTACAAACTGTCCTGCCTACAAAATATGCTAGGGCAATGGTGGTATAAAGCTTGTGGGGATAATCAACCAATGTCTGATTTGACTTAAGGCCCAATTTGTAAGATGGAATCCGTACCTGACACTGCTTGGGTGACCAAAAACCAGAGACTTAGGGTAAAATCAAATAACACTGGTCTTAAAAAAATTGTAACAGTAACATAACTCTTAATTTTATTAAGCTGCACTCGTAGATCAGTGCCTTACTCAGCCAACATCAGAGAGGCTTCTTCCTGCAGCAGATGGAACAAATACAGAAACCCACAGCCAGACATTATGCAGAGTGTGACCTTGGAACACATAGTTCTCAATGGTATGTCTCCATCAGGTCCCTCCCATCTGAGCTCAGAGAACCCTGAGGAAGAAGAATAGTGTCTTTGATATGGAATCCTAGCATAAGTTTGTTTTTCCAAGACATGCCATTAATGTGTACATTAGATTATAAAGCCTAGGTTTCAAAGACTTTTTTTTTTTTTTTTTTTTTTTTTTTTTTTTGGTTTTCCAAGACAGGGTCTCTCTGTGTAGCTTTGTGCCTTTTCCTGGAACTCACTTGGTAGCCCAGGCTGGCCTCAAACTCACAGAGATCTGCCTGCTTCTGCCTCCCGAGTGCTGGGATTAAAGGCGTGCGCCACCACCGCCCGGCCTCAAAGACTTCTTGACACCTTAAATTTATCATGAATCAAAGAAGAGATCATTCAATAGAAAAAATGTAATAAACTCATTAAAAGCCAACTCTATAATAATAGATTAAACATATTTCCCATAAAAAATTATATAGAAGCTGTAGGATTTGATTTAATGGTTCTAAACATAAGCATAGGATTCAGTACAGCCTGTATTTCTGTGCCGGCCAAAGAAACTGTGAGTACACATGTGTTCTGCATGGAATAGGCTTGATTCGGGGCAAGCAATACTTCTTGAAGGAAAAACAATGAGTTGCTGCCCTGGCTGGTCTGTCAGCTTGGCACAAGCTGGAGTTATCTGAGAAGAGGTAACCACATTCGAGAAAACGCTCCCATAAGATCAACCTGTAGGCAATCCTATCGAGCAATTCCTTTACTAGTGATCAGTGTAGGAAGGCCCAGCATACTGTGGGTGGTGAAACTCCTGGACCAGTGGCCCTGGGATATATAAGAAAGCAGGCTGAGCAAGCAGGAGAAGCGAGCCAGGAAGCCACATTTCTCCATTGCTTCTGCTTCAGTTCTTGTCTCCAGGTTCCTGCCTTGAGTTCCTGCCCCAACTTCCCTTCATGCTGGACTACAAAGGAAGCTGAAACAAACCTTTTCCTCTTAAAGTTGCTTTTGGCCATAGTGGCTTTTTTAATGTAATTCCTTTATTGACTCTCACCTCCCAGTTCCTCTATATCCTCCTCTCACCCTGAAGTGGCCACTAAATGAAAAGTTTTTAAAAAATCATACCAACCCAAAAAAAAGAAAACAAAGACAAAACAAAAATCAAAACAAAACAACAACCAAAATAAATAAATAAACAAAAAAACTCTTCGGTCCTCCATCTTTCCCAGCTCCCCAACACCTCTTCATTTGTCCTGGTGGCATTGGGAGCCAGGGTATGTCACACAGTATACTTTTTTGTTCAATCAGCTTTATTTGCAAATGTTCATTGCAATGAGTCATTGGTCTGGTTCAAGGCTTCTGGTTTCTGGTACACCATCATCCCTGGATCCTCACCAAAACTCCCCTCAGATAGCCCAAAGCCACCCTAAATCATGGAGATCCTGTGGTTATCATTCCACAGGACCGATCCCTTCACAAGCACCAAGAGATCCTAGATAGGGTAAATGCTAGGGTGGGCCAACCCCAGGCTTGATTGTGGGCCTGGGTGGTAGTTGAGCTGGTCAGTCCAGGCCACCAAGGCTGCCTTCATCAGGCAAGGGGCGGAGCCAGCTCCCTTATGCCCAAGTCACCAGGGTCAGCTCTCTCCAACTGTGGTGAGGGGTGGGGCCATCTCTCCCAAGTATCTGGGCCAGCCCTCTTACTGCAGTGTCCAGCATGGGACAGTGCCAGCTATCCCTGGGCCAGCAAAGAGCAGGGTCAGCTTAGCATGGCCCTCTGATTCCATCACACATGGTTCCTATGGCCCTTGAGGTGACATGGGCCACAGACATTAAATCAGACCCCAGCTGCAGCAGGACCACAGACCCAGACATGGCCCTCAGCAGCAGCTTGGGCCTGGATGACCATCCTAACTCTGGGTGGAAGCACAGGCCACTCAGATCAGTATGGTTCTGGTGGTGGCACAGCCCCTGGGACACCAACAAGGCCACAGATTGCTACCCTGAACCCAGGCTTTTAGTGTAACCTTTGGTGGCAACACAGACTCTGGATGTAGTGGGACCACAGACCCAGACATGGTCCTCAGCAGCAGCTGGGTCTGGATGTCACCATTGCCATAGGAAGCAGTGTAAGCCACTGAGGTGAGCATGCCCCCAGCAACAGCTTGGCGCTTGGACATTATCATGGCCCCAGGTTTTGGGCATCCACATGGCCTTCAATGGTAACAGGAACCTCAGACATCAGCACAGACCCTGGCTGCAGTAGGGCCATAGACCCAGACCTGGCCCCCAGCTGCAGCTCTGGCCCAGATGTCACCACGACACTGGATAGAAGTACATGACACTTAGATCTGTATGGCCCCAGATGCAGCATGGCTCCTGGATACCAACATGGTCCCAGGTGGCTGATCCAACCCAAGATATCACACAGCCTCTGTTGCAACAGGAGTCACAGACATTGACTCAGACCCTGGCTGCTATAGGGCCAGGGATCCAGACATGGCCCTTGCCAGCACCTTGGGCCTGGATGACACCAGGCCAGGGTATTTTAACACAGCAACAGAAACTCTAACTATGACAGTTGCTGCATTTTTGTATATTTATAGAAAAATAAATAATACCACACTGAGAAAACCCCATGAATATATAATAAAACATGGGCTTAGGGGGATGGGAAAATCCATGTCCTTTCATTCAGAGTTAGAAAATATCCTAAAGATGATTGTGTCCAACCACCCACTTAATATAGGAATTTCAACTACATTCTCTCCATATGGTGATTATTTATTTTCTGAATACTTTCCATGGTTTACAAAAACATTCATTTTTGAACTATACTCTTCATTAGAAAGTTCTTCAAATTGCCTAAAAATATACATTGGAGAAAAGACAACCTCTTCAACAAATGGTGCTGGAAAACCTGGATGTGAACATGCAGAAAAATAAAATCTCACTATGTACAAACTTTAACTCCAGATGGATCAAGGAGTGCTACATAAAACCCAGCACACAGAAACTGCTAGAGGCAAAAATATGTAGTGTGTTTCAACTTGCAAGCACAGGCAAGGGCTTGTTGACCAGGACTCCAACAGCACAGAGAAGAAGACTAGCAATCAACAAATGTGATCTCATTAAACTAAGAATCTTCTGCTATGAAAACTGTCAAGACAGTGAATAGGCAACCCATAGGAAATAAGAAAACTTTTGCCATATGTATATACATTTGACAGAGAAGTAGCATCTAGAATATACAAAGAACTGAAAACACAATATTAAGAAAACAAATAACCCAACTAAAATTTGACAGTGGAGCTGAACATAAAGTTCTCAAAACTACAAGTAAATATTAAACATAAGAAATGTTTAAACATCCTTAGACATTTTAGAGAAATGCAAAATAATTACTTTAAGAGTTTGTCTCAGTCTGGTCAGAATAACCATTCCAAGAAAAATGAATGACAATAAATGCTGACACGGATGTGGGTATGGAGAATTCTTACTCACTGCTGCTAGGAGCACAGCCCACTTGAAAATAATTCTGGATGTTTCTCCAAAAAGTAGAAAAAGAGCTATCATGTAACACAAGTATATCATTCCTGGAAATAAATCCTGCTATAGAGATAATTGCAAATTCATTGCAGGCTTGTTTATAATAACTATGAAATAGAATGAATCTAAATGTACATTGACTAATAAATGGATAATGTAAGTGTAAATCACACAAAAAAAAGAAAGTTCTTCATATAAATAAAGGTAAAATGCACCTTTCTGCAAATTTTCTCCTGAGTTTTGGTCTCTACCTTGGGCTTCACTGAATAAAACTGGTCCCTTGTGCTGCACTGTTTAGAGCCACAAATTATATCTTACAGCCTCTATCTCTTTTGTATGCAGACAATATTTCAGCTACTATTAAGGAACTGATTTCTTAGTGGAGTTTTTCACATTTACTCTGTTGAACATTCATTTGTATTAATGATTATTAAGGTGGCAAGATTTTTGTTTGTTTAACCTGACACTGTTATTTAATATGAAGTGTTGGAGCCCACTAGAGTTCCTAGTGGCTGTACCCAGGAGGACTGCATAAGAGGTTGGTTGGACCATGGGCCTGGGTACCAGGTGACTGTAGCTAACAAGGGGGAGGTGTAGAGAGCTGCATGCAGCCACGCCTCAAAGATGGCGCTGGCTTCCCCCTTCCACCCTCCAGACAGTGAGTGCTCTCTGTGATAAACAACTCCTTATTTGGCTAAGGCTAAGGATTTGGCTTGCTTCCGAGTACCTGGACCTATCTGCAGTACCCACGTGGCAGATTGGGGTTGGCTGCCCAGAAGCTATTTAGGTTGTGGGTTGGCTTTCTCCGGGGTCAGAAGTCAGAAGATTGTTTCAAGGTTCCTGAATAAACTGCTTGGAGAAGAGCCTGGTGTTGCGTCTTCCTTGCTGGTCGAGGCCGACGCGACAGGGAGGTCTTTGTTCCACCTCTTGGTATTGTTATAAATAGACCTTTGGAATAAATCTCTAGGCCAATGGATAAGGATCCATGCCCTCCTGAGTATATCCTGTGTTTTCTCTCTGTTTCTCTTCCTCTCTATTTTTAACTAAGTCTCTTATCTCTCAATCCTCAAGAATTCCTAGGGTAAATAAGTGTGGGGGCTGGTCCTCCACAGTGCAGGCTATCCCACACTTTTTCACTCACAATGCTGACATACTTTCAACATTTCTATGCACTTGAACAGCAAAAACATTGGCAAGAATGTGATGATCTATAGAACCTTCCTAAATTTATTATTAACAAGTCAACCTTGGCAATGAGTGATGTCCCTGTGTCAGAAAAATATAAGCTCACCCATGTCTGTTTTAAAATAAGCATGATGTACATAAGTATCAAAACTTCACATGCTATTCCATCAATATGTACAATTTGAATGTATCAACTAAGATTCTGTAAATTAAAGATGACAAAATAAAATGCAGACATCGCAGTTTGTGTATGAAATGTCCTCTGAACCATTGGTGCTGAAAACTTGGCATCCAGTACAGTGTTCAGAGGTAGGGCTTTGGGGAAGTGATGAGGGCGCTCACCTAATCCATGAATTAGTCTTTTGATGGAGTCATAATTGGACTATTGGGAGATGTTGGACACAAAGGAAGGTGGAGCCCAGTCAAAACAAGTGGGTCAAAGGGCTTGTGCCTTTGGAGGGTTTGCTTTATCTTGTCCTCTCTCCATCCCTGTTTTATGGCAGCCATAAGATGAACAGCTTTCCTCTACCAGACCTTTCTGCCATATAGTGTTTCTACCTTTCCAGAAGCCTGAGCGCAGTGGAACAAGCTGACTCAGGAAGTGCATGTCAACAAGGCAGCACAGAGGATAGCAACAGCCTTCACTGTGTTTCTTTGCTTGCCTACCTACTTAAGATGCTGGTCACAGAACTCAGTCTCATGCACAAGCTGGGCAAGTGCTCAGCTGCTGAGCTATCTATCCTCCAAGCCCTTGTTGCAGCTTTTGAGAACAAGCAGGGTTAGCAGAGCAGGTTTTGAGAAATTCATATTTTGAAAATTTTCCTTGGGCTTTGAGTTCCAGGAATGAGTCCTAATCATCTGGTGCCTGGCCTGGTGGTAACTCAGGCCACTGAGATGGTGTTCTGGACTACATGGACCTGAATAATAAGAGAGTGGGGTGGGCATGGGCTGGGTTTGTTGGTTTAGATGTCCAAGGTGGTTCTAGCCATGTTATTTGCTATTTCTAAGGTTAGTTGGCCCCCAAATGGAAGGTCACTCCCCCTGATCAGTTAAGGCCGATGTGTCTGTTTAGTCTCTCATCATCGGGGAACATGTTCTATGAATGCCGTGGATACTCATTTGTAGACACTACAAATCCTGTGTGTGCTTGCTTCTCCTTATCCACACTTACCTATGATGAAATTTAATTTAAATATTAATCACATTAAGATTGTCCACAATAATTCACTGTAAACTAGAACAATAATAACAACATACTGTAATATAAGGTATGCTAGTCCAGATTGAGTATCAGTCATGGGAAAATAGCTTTCACAGTACAGATGTACTAGACACAGGTGATTCATGCCCACAGAAGACTCAGACATTTCATCACACCTTAGGATGATACACAATTTGAAACTTGTGAATTGTTTATTTGTGGAAATTGTTGCTTAATATTTGTGGATTATAGCTGATTTCAGATACCTGGAATAATCAAATATGAAACTTGGCTAATTAGGTGTTGGGGCTAATATACCAAGAATGCAGAAAATGAGAAAATATAGTTACTTGGAGGTCACCACCTGTCTCTGAGGACAGTGTTTTGCCCTGACTTAGCAATGCCTTGCCTTGTGACAGTCACCTTGTTCTCAGTCTGAACTTTTTTATCACAGGTTTCTAAGACAGAGTCTAAACCTTGTGAGACTAAGAATCTCTACTAGATTCTCACAGAGAATGGTGTGTGTGTGTGTGTGTGTGTGTGTGTGTGTGTGTGTGTGTGTGTGTGCGTGTGTGTGTGTGTGTGTGTGTGTGTGTGTATCTGTGTCTCTGTCTGTATGTCAAGGGGCAAATCTGAGTCAGGAAGACCTACACCATGAAGAGTGCCAGGGACTTTGGACCTCATGTAAACCTTCCTGGAGACTACTGGCCTTGTGCAAGCCTGTGCGCCTAGGGCAGCCTTGTAGAAAGCCTCCTTCCTGGAATAGATTTCTTGTTTTATAAGGAAAGGAATGTGGCTTTCAATTGTCTGATGTGTCTTACTAAACGTTCCCTGACAAGCCTGGGGACTAAGATAAGTTCCCAGGTTCCCAAGCAGGAGCATAAATAAAAAGAACTGTCAGCACAGCGAGTATTCATCTGCGCTCCCGGCACAAAACTGCTGATGGAGGATTAGGGCTGGGATCATCTTGAATGTAAGAATATGACTGGGAAAGCCCAGAAGTGATAGATCTGTCTGCAACTCTCATTGTGACTCTCAAATTTTTCTTCTCACCCACACTTTTGAACAAAATCCCTGCCAAGACACAACCACAGGCAGTAAAGGATGGGCCCAAACTGTCACATGTGCCTTATCTTCTGAGTTACTACCTTAAAACCTGGAAAAGCAAAAAGCAATAGCCAGAACAAAAACGATGATCAGCCTCACTTATTCCTACTGCAGACGTGCCCCTTAACTTGCTGATCATCATCAGAAAGGGAGACAGACAGAAGACAAAGCAGCTTCATCTGTGAGAACATTAGCTCCCAAGTCAAAACTTGCTGGGGTAGAACATATTCTTGACATGCACAACTGTATTTTCAACATAAAGATGAAATTTTAACTAATAGAAAATTCGTTTTCTCCAATATTCCTTCAGTAAGTGCTAAATGATATGCAAAAAAAAATTTAAAAAAAAAAGAGGCTTGGGCTGGGGGTGTGGCTCCATTGGCAGAGTGCTTACCCATCATGCACAAAGCCTTGGGCTCCATTTGCAGAAGTACATGAACAAGTGTAGAAGTGCACACCTGTAATCTTAGCAAGATGGAGGTGGAAGCAAGATGGAGTACATCCTAGGCTACATGGTGATCCTGAGGTCAGCCTCGGGTATATGAGACCCTGTTTCAAAAGAAGTAAATGAATAAATGTGAGAATTAAAAAAACAAATAAATATAAAATGAAAATACAAGCTTCTGGGAAGTGATATTATTATTCTTTCACAGAACCCCACAGGTTTTTACAGCAATTGTATGTGACTCTCAGTGGTAACATTGACTTTATTCATTGGGAGTCACATTTTGTTTACAAAATTCATGTGATTCTCAATAGAGGCATTCACTTTACCATTCAAAAAAGTTTTGTAGATAATATTGTGAAACTAACAGAGCCGGTGAATGGCTCAGATGGTCAAAGAGCTTACTTCTAAGCCTGATGACCTGACTCCAATTCCCAGGGCCCACATAGTAAAAGGAGAAAATCAGCCCCCCCCTCCCCCCGTGAGCTGTCCTCTATGTGTGCACACAAGTACACATACACACATGCACATGTACACATACATGCATGCACACAAAGGAGTGATGGAACTAACAGTATTGGCCATAGTGAGGCTTACCTTTTATCCAAGAACTGTAGAACTTAAGAAAGAAGAATCTCAAGTTTGAAGCCAACTGGAGCTACAAAGGAGGAGGAGGAGGAGTGGTAATTAATTAATTAATGGATCGTAACAGGCTCAATGAGGAAAGAAATGGAAAAAAGCTAAGAACCAGTCAGCATGCAACCTAGATAACAAAGGCTTTTTGAGTTGAAGGTTTTTCATCCTGGGCCATTAAATACACAGAAATTGAGTTTGTGAACATAAGTACCCCTACCACCAGAGACCCTGCTTTTTCATGTAGGAGAAAAATGGTTCAGCTCACCTCACAATATCCTGGAAAACTGTTTCCATTTCCCCCCCTAGGAATCATTAAAAGAGTATTTAAAGCCTAAAGTCAAGCATGAGAGATGGAGGCAGAAATGTCAAGAGATCAAGGTCATCCTCAACTATATAGTGAGTTCGAGGCCAGTGTGAGCTTCGTGGGGCCCTGACTAAAAAACAGAAAGGATATCTATGTAGTCTGCATTTCAGCCTCATTAACTCTAAAACAGGAATGATATTATAGCCTTTGCAAGTTTGCTGCAAAAATTAAGTTTGAAAAAAAAAAAAAAAAAAGGTGCCATACTCAGAAAAGAGCAAGTATTGCTGTTGGTATCATAACAACTATTTACTTTTTCCTCATTTCTAACCCAGGAAACTACTTCCAGATCAACGTAGCTTAGAGAATTATTGGCAGTGTGACTAACACAGGACACCTTACATATCAGCCTCATTCTAGTCCTGCAGATCAATAAATTAGCTTTCAAGTGCACACACTAAAATCAGCTAATTGGTTTGTTTGCTTTGCAACATTAGTGAAATTCTACTTAAAGCTAAATGCAAGTTTGGGGAACATTCTCTAGAAACAACATCAGTTATCACTTTAGTCTGATTTCTGTTGCTAGAAGAAATACCTGAGGGCTGGAGAGATGACTCAGCCATTAAAGGCTAGGCTCACAACCAATAATATAAGAGGATACCTGAGACTGGGTAATTATAGAGGTTTCTTTTGGCTCGTTATTCTAGAGGCTACAAAAAGTGAAAAAGGGACATACATGTGAGGAAGTAACATGTGGGTGAGAGGACAGAGCATGTCCAGCTCTCTTTATAACAGCCCAGCTTCAGAACCAACCCATTTGTGTGGCACTACATTAACCTTGACTTCAAGGCCTCTTTAAAATCTGATATCTCAACTCCCTCACTTTGGGAAGCCAAACCTCCACACATGTTTAGTAGAACAACCCACATTCACGTCATGATAGACTGCCACCTGGTGAAGCCAAAACTGCCTTGCCCGTTTGATAACAGCCTCTGAAGACAGGAGAGAAAGCTTGAGGAAAAGTCATTTACTCCCATCAACCCTCATGACACTGAATACTTGATGAGATCATGTAACAGGGCCCCAGACCTTAGCAGGCCACAGACCTTAGCATTACTGACTCCAAGATGGAAGTACCATTTAGGCTACAAAACTCTGCACTAGACAGCACCGCCTGCCAAAACTAAAACAAAGACCTAATCCATCAAAGTCTGTACCTCTAGGAGAGTCTCAAAATGTACTGACCTCGTGTTTTTTCTGGCTTCTGTAATTTTGCTTCTGGCTAAGTGTTCTTGTTAATTGAAGTATATCAACTCAGGACATGGAATATTGTGCTTAACAGCTCACCCTGAGAAAGACTCAGGACTACACTGAGATCCCAAACACCCCACCAGCCAGCTAATAAAAAATGTCTAGCAGTCATCTCTGGTGAATACCGCACAACAATCGGATGGAACGTGTCGTGATCGCTCTCATTCTTAACTGCAGCCAAGTTAGCCTGTCACTTGATTCCAGCACCAACATTGTGGACTCACATGAAAGGAAGTCATGGCCTTTTGTACAAAGAGAAATGTAAAACTTAGAAAGGCTAAAAAGTCTTGCCCCTAATCACACAATTGTATCATGAAGTACAATTCAAGATAAATCATTCTACCATAACTTCGTGCAAAATAATATAGGGCTACATTCATACACAATTTGGAATCTACTTTAGTAGTGACTTATTTAGAAAATAAAAACATTTCTCTTGCAATCACTTCTGATATTAGAGTGAAGTATTAATAAATAATAAAACTTTAAATTCTAAAAATGAGAGAAACATATCATTCTGAATAAGGGAGGTTAGGCTGAACTCTTGAACCTACGAAGATGAGCTGGCAGCAACAGTGGTTCCTATGGGACCAATCTTCGTGCAAGCAACACCTATTAAACTCTGGATAAACTGTAGAACAACCACCTGAAAACACAATAAAGGAAGAACATTCTTGAGACACTGAGTTTCCCGTTCCTATGGTTACAGCCTTGAGGGGAGGTTCTAATACATACTGACGTGAAGACTAAAAGAAGTAAGATTAAGAAGCATCTGGAAGGTGGAGGGATACGTCTTAGAAAAAAGAGAGCCAGAGAAAGAAATTCCACCTGTAAGCATTCACCAACACCCCCCACCCCTCTGCCCCATCCCCAACACCCTCTACTCCCCCACCACCCACTACCAACCTCTGACTCACATTTCCGAGCACTAAAGTCCAGGCTAAAGCAGAGCAGGCAGGCAGCACACTGCACAGGCTGCTGACTCAGACAGAGCATAAGTGCTTTGAGAATAAAAGCAGAATCCAGAAAACACATAGAAGACCATTCACAATATTCGAAACACACTCCAGAACTGTTTGACATGCAAATGAGACCCGTGGTGCATATTTAAAAGACAATGACCACACACTAATTCTGAGATGATGCAGAGCCTGGGGTTAGTAAACAGGGGTTCCAAAGCAGCCACAAAGACTGTTCTCAGCACACAAGAAAATGTATTCATCATTGATGCAAAGAAAATCTCAGCTAAGAAAAGGAAAAATACCAAAAAAAAAAAAATAGAAGAGGAAGAAGAAGGAGGAGGAGGAAGAAGAAGAAGAAAAGAAAGTAAGAAGAAAGGAAGGAAGGAAGGGAGGGAGGGAGGGAGGGAGGGAGGGAGGGAGGGAGGAACTTGAGGTCTGAGAGTTTAATACTTGACATTTGAAATTCATTAAATAAACTTGAGAGGATTCAAAATGTCAAAAAAATAAATGAGGACATAAAAATAGATATCATCAATCTGCAAAAAAAAAAAAAAAAAAAGAGGGGAGGATATTTTTAAAGATACATGGAACCTCAGAGAACTGTGAATCCTCCCATGTAAATGAAAAATGCAATTTCTCAGTACCTGTATTTAGATAAAAATTTTTCAGAGTGACAGCCTAAATCCCAAAGAGGAGAAAACCCCTTCAATCACTTGAAAATGAAAACTTTGGGTGGCCTTGCCAGATGTAGGGCAAGGCACTCACAAATCACAATAATACTAAGAAATTGAGTCACAATGGGAAGGTAAGTTTTGAGAAAGACCTTCTCGGAAATACACAAAACTTTAATATCCAAAAAGCCTCCTGTAAGACGTGGAGTTAAAAGCCATTAACTTAAAAAGAGAAACTGAATTACAGGAAGAAAGGCTCAGCCTCATGAAAGCTCACACCGAAAACTCTTGACCTGACAATGGATGCTGGTTTCTGGCCAAGAACCAGTTGCCTAATATATCTGCAAGCTCAGCTGTCTAGAGACACAACTCCTACATCTCCAACCCATTCTTTATAAAAAAAAAAAAAAAAACGCCTGCAATTTCATGAGGGCAACTGCTGAAAGATATTCTGAATGGACCACTTCATCCTGGTATCAGTGGGTATAATCAGTTTTATAATTACACTTCTCTGTCTCTTTTTTTAGGTATGTGAAACATTAGCAACATTAATTTGTGATTTTATTTAATGGGTGTTTGATTAAATAAGTTTATAATCAGTACTGACATATTGTATAATTTAATTTTTAAAATGTATACATTTTGATTTACTTATTTCACAAAGCATGCAAGTACTTAAAGGACTTGTTATATATAGCTGGTGTTCACAATATATGAGATGATAAGAATAAAATTGATGTGAAATACAATTAAAATGGTTGAGAATGTTCTTTACTGTTTGGGGTGATTTTGCCCATGGAGAAGAATGCAGTCAACATATTTATAATAAAGTTTTAGAGAAAATGTAGGCAAAAACCTTAGAATAAATGGAAATTTTATGCTTATTTGTGTAAGACTACATAGATTCCAACTTAAGATGTTTCTAACTTTAGAGTTCTAAATTCTATTTTCAGAAAATCAGACAAGAAAAACAACATGCACATCAAGGGAGAGGGCCACTTAGTATTCCTGGCTGATATTCTTGTTCCACAACAAATGTATCTGATGTTTTATTGTTTTCCTTTTCAAAGCCCATATCTAATCTCAAATGTAAAGCAAGCAAAATGTCCACACACAATAATAACCAGATTCATGAAAATAAATACCATAACAAGAAGAATAGGAAGACAGATCCTTTAAGCTGGCCAAAATGATAGTTTATCGTACACAAAATTTATTATTTACAGAATTTCAAATTGATGAGCTAGCCCCACCCCCTCCAACAGTGATTTTTAAGGGGGGATTTTTGGTATCATAAACTTATAAGTCTTGAGATAACTTAATATATGTGTTAATTTATTGCAATCATTTTCTTTTGATGATCAGTTTGCCCTTTCTCAATGTTTCTTGTATCCTTCACTAATAACACTAGTAATTTTTAGATTGTAGTAATGTATACACAACGTGAAAGTATACAATTCAGTGTGTTAAGTTTACTTACACCATTTTTGTATACATCACCACCATCTATCCCCAGAATCCTTTCATTTTCTCATTCTAAAACTCTCTCTACCCACTAGACACTAACTCCCCATTCCTTCCTGCCTTAGATAGATAGATAGATAGATAGATAGATAGATAGATAGATAGATAGATAGATAGATAGATAGATAGATAAAGCCTAAGGCCTAACCAAGGAAGTGAAGGCCTGACCGGAGACACTAAGATGCCCATAGATTAGTAGAAATAATATTATGAAACTGACCAAAAGCAACTTTCAGATTCAACATAATTTCAGTCAAAAATCCCATGGCATTGACATTGTTTATAGAAAATGAACACTAGAAAGAAAGAAGGAAAGGAAAGGAAGGAAGGAAGGAAGGAAGGAAGGAAGGAAGGAAGGAAGGAAGGAAGGAAGGAAGGAAGGCCTTCATAAAATTTATATGGAACCACAGAAAATCTTGAAGAGCCAAAGTAATCTTAAGCAAAAGGAACAATGCTAGAGGGATTTCGAACTATTTTGCATAGGTATAGTAATAAAAATAACACCACATTAGCACAGAAAAGACATGTAGACCAATGGCACAAAGTAGAAGACCTAAATAAGGGTGCATTGAGTAAATGAATATTTAATGAATGGGGGAAAATAATATCATTTATGGATAAGTAAAAGGTAGTTTTTGAGAAAAACATCAAGCAAGAAATTTGAGGTTATAAAAAAAAATAAAAAAAAAAAAAAACATGGTTGCAGTAATGAATTAAAACAGATGACCTGTTTCACAGCTGTTCAGGCTGAGATGAGGAGAGAATTCCCCTTTTTATGATCTTCCAAATTCTTCTTCATTTAATTTTAAATATGTGATAAAAAAGATAAATAAAAAATCATAACACAAAGTAACTGAACTACACAGTCATGTGCAACTGACTATTTTTAGAATTAGTAAGTAGAATGTTCCCTCAGTCATTGTCACATTCTAGTGTGTTACTTCTTCAACAAAGAACTACACCCTAGTGGGCTTCATAGATAAAGTGAAAACTTGTCTCAGAACTGATCAGTGTTCTTCACCAGGTATCAAAGTGAACAATAATAAACACAAATTTTGCCTAACATCTAATTAGGATCGCTAATAGGTAATATTGAAATGTGTTGAGCAGAATATGTTCATGCACTAATACTGGTTATGTAAATAAAAAGGCCTTTTCTGGGGTAATTTCTCAATGGGTAATCCAATGGTTTTACTTTTACAATGTATGTGGGATGTATCTGTCCCGTGCCCCACTCTTGTTTCCAGACTCCTCTCACTTGTATTCGTCCATTTTGTTCCCCTAGACAACCTCTCCTTTATTTCCATGTTCTATACACACACAACATAATTCAGTTTTTCATGAGCACTGTCACTTATCCAGCTCGTTTAGGATAAAGTTATCTTTTAAAAAAATGAGTGGAGAAATAAAATGTTATATACAAACATGTTAAGCAAGGTGTTATTTAAAACACCAACAAAGTAGAAAGCAAGTTTTCTCAATTCTTAACACAGAAGCTATTAAATAAGTGATACAGCTATAGAATGAAATGTTGTCAGTAGATATTAAATTGATAATAATAGTAGTATCTATTGGAATGCCTATGATATATAGTGTTTTAAAGGTTACAAAAGTAGTATGCACAATATAGTAATATTTTATGTACATCAAAACATATGATCTGTCTCCAGGGTCTAGTACAGTAAACTGATGAAGCTAGAAAAGATTATGCAGAGTGACATAACGCAGACTCTAAAAGAACAACAACTTCATGTTTGCTCTCATTGCTCTCATCTGAGATTCCTAGCTCCAAATCTTTGGATGTGAATATCTACACACACACACACACACACACACACACACACACACACATACACACACACACACACACACGCACGCACGCACGCATGCACACA